GAGAGCGGTGGCCGTCCCCCAGACATAAAAATAGGGGAGGACCCCCCCCCCCTCCATCCCCCCCTGCTGGAGTGTTATTAGTCTCCTCAGCGGACGTATGAACACTCTTTGCCCTTTGTCGCGTTGGCCACAAATCACACGCGGCCCCGTGTTTTATTCTCCTTAATTGATTCATGGACCAATTAGGGATCGTATGCTGGGACATGCGCGTTTTTTTAGTGTCCACTGTCAGCCAGCCGAGGTATTAAAGAGACTTCATAATCACTCAAAATATTCTTATTCAACTACTCATCCTCCTCCTCCTCGTTTTTCTTCTCCTTCCTTCCCCATTCTCTTCTTCCTTCTTATTCCCCTTCTTCTCCTTGATTGCGGACCGCACTTGGCCCCCGGGCCTTGAGTTTGAAACGTATGCTATAGATTGTCATCCTACATGGGACGTTGCTTTCAAAATGGGTGTTAAAATTGAAATTTACGGAATGATGCAATTGTCGCAAAAACCTGACTATGGAATCGGAAACTTCACAATTTTGAAAATGTAAAATAATTGCAAAACAAATGTAAAAATAATTGCGAAACAAATCTGGACTGGAGTGAGTGTCGTTATAATGGCACACTAACAGAGTTAGTTTGATGAAGCTTGATGTCTTACCCAAAGTGCCTAATGTCAGGGCACCTTTTCGTGACTTTCCGTGGCCATATGACAAAAGAAACGATCAGTATTTGTGTTTGCTCATAAGTTATTCTGATACTGTTCGTGGCTTTTTCTATTTTTTTTTTGTATTCTTTATTTTCTATTTAGTCAGTTCTCCTCCATCGTCTTCTAATCAATACAGTATAGAAACAACAATTGACTCACAAGGAGAAACCACCCGCAGTTTACTGAGCGCAAACTAACTTTTCTGATCAAATGTGAGACATTTAAATACAAATAAACATTTTTTCTTGAATATAATGGTTAAAAACATGGTTAAAAAAAAAAAAAAAAACTTTTCTTGAAAATAAGGCTCTATCCTTGGTGTTGAAAGTCACTACCCATCGAAGGGTGCTAACCTATCATATTTCATCTAAGGAGACTATAGATGTTGCTTTAATAAGAACACGACTGGGAATTCACGGGAACATCAGGCGGGGTGAAGGTTATACGGCTCGCTACTTTGAGTGTAATGATAAATTGTTGTTTCATAATACAATTGCAAAGTCTCTAAAGACTGGCTTTTTATGTAACAACAACCGTGACGCTGTACCTTTAAATGACTGTTCGTCCGTCGACGGCGGATTCATGTTTCGCTGCTTGAGCTTCATCCATTGACGCCGTTGTTTTCGTGATCATGACGTGACGACTGAGTTTTTCCGTTGATCGTTGGAGCGATCCAAATGTATCTAAGTGTCCCTTAATAATGTTAGAATCTGTGCTACTCAAAGTCATGTCCTTGAGTTTCTAGGTCAAGGAACTTGCCCCCAATGGTATTCATTAATATGGAATGTGCCAGTTTCTCTTTAGAAAACACTAAACCTTACAAAGTGAAACCACAGCGATGGTGGTATAGTGGTGAGCATGGCTGCCTTCCAAGCAGTTGACCCGGGTCCGATTCCCGGCCATCGCAAAGGAATCATTTTCCTCAGTTTCGTCTTACCCCCGTGGTACAATGACAATAAAGACTATTCTATTCTATACTATTAAATACTATACAACAGTGGTCCTCAACCCCCGGGCCGCAGACCGACACCAGTTCGTGGGTCAATTGGTACCAATCCACACAAAGATAATGCGTAACTTACATTATTTCTGTTTCATTTATTATCTGATTCTGAAACGTGTTTTATTTTGAAAAACATCTCTCTATGACTCACACATTACAATACATTTAGCAGACACTTTTATCCAAAGCGACTTCAAATTTGAGTCAGTCAGTCAACAATCAAGCTAGTGTTAACATACAAAATACAAAAATACATACATAATAAATTATAATAAATAGTAAAAGGACAGTTATGGTCATAGCATGTCATAGACATCCAAGTCAGCATGCTTGCCTCGGTCACATCTTACCTACGTCCGCTACCTTCTTTGAAGGTCTGCTCCGGCCGGTAACACATAATACATTACCGCTAAACTGAAACCCCCGAGCTAGCAACATGAACAAAAAAACAAACGTCTTTGAAAGGTTTCTTTGCGCAGGGTAAAAGAGCCAGTGAGGAGACAGAAGAAGAGCCTACGTCTTCAAAGAAAATGAAAGCTGCATTTAACAGACAATTCTAAGAGTCCTACTTAAAATGTGGCTTTATTGCGACAAGTTGTTCCCACGCACCAAGGCTGCATTGCATAATACTTGGTTAGCAGCTCTCAAATGAGGCAACGAAGCCTTCAAAACTGC